TTAGAATCAGCTGACAGGTCCCATAGCCTATCCCAAAAATGTCGCACAAGTCGTTGATGGTACGACGTCGATCTTCGTAACATTTTCGGGCGTTGTGCTCGAAGATGGTCGTCCAGAACGCTCGTCATCATCGACAGAGGTTCGGCCATTTTTAAAACGTGAATGCCACACAAAAGTTGGTGCACGACCCATTGCGGACTCCCCAAATGCTTGCTTTAGCATTTCACAGGTTTCCGTAGCCGTTTTGGCGAGTCTTTGGCAAAATTTGATGCACACGCCATTCCGAAAGCGCAGGAGGGTCGGTGTAATGCACTACCAAAACGCCCGTAACTAAGAAACAAATGCTAATTCGATGATGCCGGCTGGCACACTAATTCACTATGAAGGTAGGCCGCACCCCCTAGCGGCAGAAGCTCGTACTACATCCGGTTCGCACTCTATTGACACAGTCTTGAAACTTGCCGATCGCACCTCGTATTAATTAAAAAATAGCTGCTCAGAATACAAGTCTCTAAAACAACTACTGAAAAGTTTTGTTTTGACCACAATACAAATAAGAACATGTGGGCTTAAAGTTTCTACCTCGATCTTTATTATTTATAATTTAATCAGCATCAGTTTCTGACCATTTTTAACTTCTTCTCAAATTATTAAATTACGGCGATAGATTCTCAAAAATGTAATTCGCACAAATTTATTTCTTCCAAATTTCTGTGTTTCTTGCGTTTTGTTTGCGTAAGAATCTTACGAAACAAACAACTTGCACGTATAATTATTTTCACGTAACTACGATATATAGATACCGAAAACTATTAAAAATCACATCAGGAGTACCAACATAAAAAATACCCTGAATTTCCCTATCAAAGAGAGAAATTTATTTTGTACCTTTCCCATAATCCACCTCTGTCAAAATCTTCCTCAATAACCGTAATAAGCTGTTCAGTTGAAACAGCGTCATTAAATAAAGAGGACTCTGCACTTAAATCAGCGCGATAAGGCGTCGTGTCAGCTCGCTCGACCTCTGCTCGAAAACACAGCCATTTTTTGTGCGTGGTTATTCAACCCCTGTGCCGCTGTTTTTCTGCCTAATTCCGTGGTAATGCGGTCTCTCGTCTCCTCATCGCCACTCGGCTCAAGTGGGCGTCAGATTTCACACTTGCTTCTGGTTCAAAGTTCAAAACACCAGAGAGTGGAAAAGGGTCCTCGTTGAAGTATTGGTACGTCCATTTTTTGTGCCCTCGTCATTAAGGAAGGCTTTAAAAAATGTTGGTGTCCCAAGATTCTTTGCTCTCCCAAATGGTGTCCGTGATATTTGATATTTTGGAAGAACGCGTCGTTTGACGAACGCACTGGATTACGGATTGCTTCTTTATCTGTATTACAAATTATTATTA